GCACTTTTGGAGGAAGTAACCCGTTGTTCAAAAGCCATTTGTGAGTAGTAGTATAGTAAAGTTATGTTTGATAAACTATGATTCAAATGCAAAACTTATGCTATGTTTATGAAAGCTATGCTAATGTTTTATCATGAATGAATGTCCTTTACTCTTGTATCATGTATGAAGATGACACCCTTGGAAACATCCTAGTTATTAGGGGACATGATAACATGCCAATAACACCTTGATGACCGAGCTCTTTGCCACCGTCGGGTGGGTTGTCTAACCAGTACCCCAAGCCAGTTATTCATTGTCAAGGTCCTTAGAATGTTCATCTCTATGTAAATGTTTGATAGTTTGAAACCTTGTATTATCATGCTCTTGTTAAGCTATGTTCAAGCTATGATTCTTGTATTATGTTTTATAAAGCTCATCGACATTCATTCATTTACCGCTTTATTATATTACTATTCACTGGGCAATGGCTTACCCCTCTCCCCTATATGTATGTAGGTGATGAAGAAGAGCACAATAATGGAGAGAAGTCTGGTTAGAAGTCTTTTTCTTTTTGTTTTACACTTTTGAGAGATGTAACTTTAAGAAGACAGTCTTGTACATATGTGTTGGTTTTTGTAAGGTCGTATCGATAATGACATACCTTCTTTTTTTATTGTTTAGACATTGTAATTAAACAAGATATCAATCCAAGAGGTATATATGTTTAATTTCATATGACTTATGCACATGCTTTGAATGGACTTTTGGTAATTAATGGATGAAAGCTTCCGTATACACCCCAAGTTTTGTTGGGGTCGTGACAACAAGGTGAGAGAGACGAAGAGTTTGAAAGTAGAGAGAGAAAAGGCTTGGTCTTAGAGGGATAAATGAAAGTCAAAGGCTGTGTCTTGGAAAAGATAAAATTAATTCACAAAGCCAATAAAGTACCAAACATGGCAATATAATAGCATTTATAAGTATTTCGAGGAAGAGAGAAGAGGCATGGTCTTTGAAAAGATAAATGAGAGTCAAGGCAGTGTCTTTGAAAAAGATAAACATTAACTCACAATGCCAATCAAGAGCCAAACATATCAATATAAGAAATATAGCAGCATTAATAAATATTTCAGATCAGTTCGGTTTCGACGAATTATCTTACCACACAACCGAAACTCAATCGAATATTGAACAGTTTTGGATATTTGAACTCATTTCCGATCAAAGTGAATCTGAAACCGTCCATGGCTAGCTCAGATCGGTCGGATTGGGTCAGTTTTTTCGGGTGATTCGGTTATTTGTACAGCCCTAGTCGTCACACTGCGTTTCACAACAAGTGAAGTAATTCTAATTTAGCAGGCTTGACTCTATGATCATACTAACATCATCTACTAGGCTCGGAGGGTCTATACCTTGGGTCTTGGGTCGGCTCAAGAATCAGTGCATACAAACTGAGATGACCAGACCGGATACATATAAAATTAACCGACGGAGGTCCAAACTAAAATGAATAGGAAAACTTGTGGGTTTAATTATAGTTACTTAAACTTAATTAGGGCTCAATTATATTAAATAAAAATTCAAATTTTTCCTGGCCATTACAGATATCCTGGAGAGATACTGCATAGACAGTATTCTGTATAATATTCTAGAAATTATTTTCTTTTCTGTTTTAGGGTTAGCTTAGACTATAAATAGTAATGTAATTCTATTGTATTTTTCACAAAATTGAATATACATTTTCTCTTTTCCTTAGTAACTTTCAGGTGGATGGTGGCGAAAGTGATGGATAGATGACAAGGGAGGTGGGGCAAATAGAGGGCAAGGTGATGGGTAGGAGACAGATGGTTGCTGGGAGGCGGGGCAGCCAAGTGATTGGAGGTGGTGGGGGATGGATGATGGTGGTGATGAATAGTTAGTGTTAAGGTTAGGTGTTCAATTGGGGAAGAAGATGAAAGATGGGTATAATTGCAATTTGCATTGGATTTTGACTTGATTTTAATTTTTTTTTTTTTCATGCCCAATCTCATAATTAAGCGTGCATGGTATTATTTATGTTAATTTTGATGGAATTACTCATGGCAAGGAGGTCAAGTGCAAAACGGACCAAAACCAAGTGAGAGTGTTTTGCATGTATTTGAATGTCAGGATAAAATGCTCTAGGCCAAAACCACAAGTGGGTAAAAATAAAATAAAATACATAAATAAAGACATTAATGAAAATATAAATTCTAAATAAAGGCATAGGATATTTCCGTAATTTGAATATTAGAATTTTGTACAAGGCTAGATCACCACCTTGGTTGAACTTATGTCATTGTAAAAGTTCTATTCAAAAAATTGAAGATTAATAAAACTCAGCTCTCTGTAAGATCAGTATTGGTGACTACTCTAATATCTTTTGGTGGTGATACCTTCATCAAACTTTTCTGGGTGCCAGTACAACTCTGAAGCATATCATTCACTTTTTCCCAACTCTGAGGCAGACCCTTCTTTTTCTTTAATATTCTTATTCCCTTGTCAGAATTTTATGAACAAAATTGAATTACTAACTTTCTGCTAAATTGTTTCAGCCGATTCTCCATTTACTTGATGCTCAAAGATAAGCCTCAACAACAGCATGTGCTTTAAAATACTAAATATATAAATCACTTGTGTTCCCAATGAATCAAACTTTGACAGTTGACAGTTGTCCATAAGTCTAAAACTAACTTGCTAGGCTAGCTGTATAACAAATCAATATTGCTTGATACAAGATTGGTTTCATTTGGCTTCTACCTTACATAAGCCCTGTAAATTTTCATAAAGTGGCACCAACGATACTCGCACCGCAGCAGGTTTACATTCTTTCTTTTCAAATGTCCATGTACAAATGAGTTAGACTGTAATACTTGAACAAAATGAAACAGAGTTACATACAAATGAGAAAGTTTTTGCTCCATTTGTTTGTTCAAGTGCTCTCCAAACTTGCTATTTACCTAGCATGTTTTTTAAAGACACCAAGAAATTTTTCCACATTTCAAAACAATTTATGCTTTGAAAACAGCATAAGATTGTGTACACATTGTAATCTTGAGTATAAATAGTAATGCATGAATGATGCAGCAGCAGCAGCAGTAGTATTACCTCTTAACTATGTTGTTTTGTTATTATAATTCTTATGCAAAAGAATATCAATGAAAATGGACAATCTGTATGAATATAATGGATGCAAACAAATTCCCAGCATTACATAGTTAATGAAAAGGAATCAGAGCATGAGGCGTGCCAGTTGAAGGCACCAGCTTCTCCATCACTTGTAAAGATATCAAGTCATTTTTTTCTGTTTTCCCTTTCTTTTTGATTCTACCACAATCTTGGAGAATTAAACCCGACATCTAAATTTTTTTTACTCTTTCCTCTCCCAGACAGGTGCAGCACTGGTTGATAGATGTAACTGTAGTTAAATTCAGAATTGGACTAGTTTTGTTAGGTTGATATCCCATAGATTCGCATTGCCATCTAACCAAATCACTAGAATTTGCAAGCATTCAATACCCTAGCTCATGACCAGATGACCAGAAATTTAATTTTATGTAATGTGTTTGCCATAACTCAAAAACGATAACTACATTTCTGTTTTCATAGTGAGCGGCACTCGCCACTATTTTTTGTATTGCAATCTCATGCTACCAACATTAGCATAACCAAACCAAACCAAACCAAGCCTTAAGTCCCATCAAATGGGGTTGGCTACATAAATCCTTCTTCTCTACTCGACTCTATCAAAGGCCATTTGGTTAGTCAAATTAAGGATATTCATATCTCTATTTACTTTACTAGCTCACGTCAATCTAGATCTGTCCTTTCCTCTAACACTTCCATCTATCGTCGCTGTATTGCATCTCTTCACTATTACCTCTGTTGGCCTCCGTTGCATATGACCAAACCATCTCAATCTATTCTCTCTTCGCTTATATTCTATCGATGCTACTTCTAACCCATTCACGAATAGACTCATTCCTAACTCTATCTTTTCTAATCTTGCCACACATACACCTTAGTATCCTCATCTCAACAACACTCATCTTATCTACATGTTGTTTCTTAGTTGCCCAACATTCTGTCCCATGCAACATCACTGAATAGCCGTTCTATTAGTGCGTACTCGTTTATTGCATAGTACTCCAAACGCACTCATCTACTTAAGCCACCTCGCCTTAATTTTATGGGCCACATCTACTCCAATCTCCCCATCTATTGTGATAATCAATTCTAAATAACGAAAATGTTCACTCGTAGGTGATTCTTGGTTCTCAATCTTCACTTCTCTTCTATTTTCCTTGTTCTGCGTATCCTAAATCCTTTAGATTCAAGTGTTTCTCTCGAAGTCTCCAACTTAGTGTTAACTCCTTCTCTAGTCTCATCCACTAACACGATATCATCTGGAAAAAGCATACACCATGGCACATCATCCTGAATATTTCTCGTCAACTTATCCACAACTAAAGCAAAAAGATAAGAACTTAATATTGATCCTTCGTGTAACCCTACAGTAATTAAAAATTCACTTGTCTCTCCAGCCGGCGATCTAATAGTGATTACCACACCTTCATACATGTCCCTAATCACATTTTGTCACCACTTTCTTCTCTAACACCTACCAGATTATATCCCGAGACACTCTATCATATGCTTTCTCAAGATCAATAAAAATTATATGAATGTCTCTTTTTTTCTCTCTATACTTTTCTATTACTCTCCTCAAAAGACAAATCGCTTCTATTGTTCACCTACAGGGCATAAATCCAAATTGATTCTCTGACACCTCTATTATATATCGCAATCGACATTCCATCAATTTATCCCACACTTTCATTATATGACACATCAGCTTGATTCCTCTATAATTGTTGCAATTCTGAACATCTCCTTTATTCTTATAAATTGGCACTAAAATACTCTTCCTCCACTCCTCTGGCATTTTCCTAGTCAACATAAGCATATTTATCCAAACTTTATAAAGCAATTAAAAGACTCACTTGCCGTAGTTGTGCATTAACTTCTGCAAGGAACCCTTCATCCAGTTGCCCTTCCTGCACCCTTTGGTTTATTTCCTGATAGTAAAAAGGTTGCAAATATTAAATACATACCCCACTTGTAATTATCCTCTTTCTAAAATTCAAAGAGTTGGAAAAAAAAAAATGAGGAACTACTACAGTAATAAAGAAAAGTAATCTGAAGGACTTTAGCCTGTCCTACTTAATGGCATCAGCTAATAAGGACATCATATTGTAAATAACTTCAGTACATAACATAAAAAAAATTAAAAAGAGCAATGGAAAAGATATAAATAACTACCAATTCCATAAGCCCTATAAAACACCTTCAACAGACAAAAGCAATAAAAAAAAAAAAAAAATACATACCCTTTATATGACTTACAAAATTGCATACATATCCACAGACGTTATTGATATATCAAGGCAAGCTAAAAACAAAGCCTTACTTTCTCCATAAGCTTGAGAGCTTCAGGATCTCGAGGAGGCCAAGGAATCTCTTCCACATCATCAACTACAGGTTTTAAAATTTCCTTGAGAACATCAGTAGCAGACTCTATTTTTTCCTGCAGGGAGAAAATACTGTGAACAAGACAGCACAAAAAGATAATGTGAGAAATAAAGTCATTAAGCTCTCAGGAATGCTGTCTAATAATCTTTGTGCTATAATGCTGCAGAGAGAGAGAGAGAGAGAGAGAGAGAGAGAGATACATTGGTTTTATGAACAAGGAAATCCACTATGCTCATTACAGATGAGGCCAACTCTTCATAATCTTTCTGCAGAAATACAACTATTATGACGAAGCATTTCTAGCAAAAAAAAATAAAAAATAGGGGACCATGCTCAGAAATATATTAAAAAGTAAAGTGAACCAAGTAAAAAACCGTGCTTTATCATCCTCAGATTTGCAGGTGTCAGTTCTAGCTGCAAGTCGTATCCAAAAACTCTCATTGAACGCAAGGACATTTTCTACAACAAGCTTCTGAAGCTGTTTGCAAATCAACCACAAGAGCAAGAAGTTTAGTAAAATAAATTTTACCTGGAACTTCAAATAAGAAGAGATTGTCCCCTTTCAAGTGACTGGATTCACATCTTAAGAGGTACCCATCCCCTTCCATAACGGCTAACTTCCTAGATGCATGTGCAGTTTATTATCCAAAAATAACAAATAATTTTTGGACTAAATCAAGTAAGCTAGTGGATCACTTGTATGTCTGGTTTCATGTTCAACACGTCAAATAGATAGCTTGAAGTCTACAATAGACTATCATTTATCTACTTTCTCATTTGAACTCATCACAATTTATTTGCTGGCAAGCTAGAAGAATATAAGTAAATAACTTTGAATTGTCAAAGCCATCTACCTTCTCTTTTGAACTTACCACAATTTATTTGCAGGCAAGCCAAAAGAACGAAAGTAAATAACTTTGAATTGTCAAAGTCATCCGACATGTTTAACTTTTCTAGACATGTTCTAAATGGAATGGGTGAGTTCTATCTCCTGTCTACAATATGTGCTATACAAACAATATAACTGGGAGAACTTACTCTTAGGGTTTACTTGTAAGTCCTAAGATATTCTACTAAGGCAGTGCTGTGTGTTACATGGTCTTGGGTAGAACTCAACCGCAAAAATTAGCTCAAGAGGTGAGGATGCCCTCACACTAATATGCTTAATCTTATTTTAGTACTTGGGCAATGTGGCACTTCACTTCACACCTTCACACCCAGCATGCTCACTCGACAGCACCTATGGTGTGCAAGCCAGGGACCCGCACCCTACCCATCCTTAAGTACTTTGGCTCTGATATCATATTACACGATCATGGGTAGAACTCAACCCCAAAAGCTAGCTCAAGAGGTGATGGTGCCCCCATGCTTATATGCTTTATTTTATTTTAGCACAGGCAATGTGGGACTTCATTGGACACTGTGACCATCTAGTGATAGCAACGTTGACGCTAAAATGCATGAGATGAGGTTGATAGGTCACCAATTATATAAATATAAGAATATATCAGGTAGTGAAACTTTCAATTCAAGAAATAATGTTTATGAAGAAGCATTGAGGTTGATGAAAAAGGAACAATTTGAAAGAAACTGCAAAGCACCATCTACTTACTTCATTTGCATTTGCATCTCTCAATGTATCTATCAGCCTATCCACCTCTACAGTCTTTTTAAATGATTCCTCAGCATCTTGATTGACTGCACAGATCAAAGTTCGCCTGTTGATTATGTTCAAAGAAGCCATTTATTATCAAAACCCCCACTTGTCATATAATAAATTATGATAATCTATTTAAAGAATCAATTCGGCATGGTAATCTTAAATAAAAGGGTTGTGGACAAAAATAGTCATAAGACCACCAAGATTTCCTCACATCTTCACAGCCCTCCCCTAAAGAGGAAACAAATGGAAGTGGGGATAGAAGTATAAAAAGGGAAAAAAGAAAATTGTAATTCACCTATTTTACAAGAAATTTTGGTGCCACTTTGAGTTAACTAATCAGAGAGAGTAAACAATAGGGAGTGTGCTTGTGTTTTTCTTCAGCTATTTTTAAGGAGTGAACGACTCTATGGGCTGTTGCTATGATATCAATTTTCTGACTTTCAAATCTATTAAGTTTAAAGAAGGGTAGTTCTATCTTTATGCACTTATTTGATTAGTTATCAAGGGGAAAACCTAAGAGTAATTCTATTTCCACACACCTAATTACCTCAGTGCACACACTTAATGAAATATTATTTTAATGGCAGTTACACCCTAAACTAAAATGACCATAATAAACATCTACTAACATCCATAATATTATATAAAAATACTTTGTACACATCTTTTAAAAATAAAAAAATCTCAATAGACACATTTTGAGTAAAAAAAAACCAAATCCTAGTTTTTCTATTGTTGTCACTTTGCTTGCTACACACTCTATACTCCTCTATTGCTTGCAAAGTAATGCTCTCATAATAACTCTCATATTGTTTTAATATTTAGGTTTATACTCTATTAGTGATGAAAATATAAGTTTTTTCATGCAAATTTTTTTTTTTTTTCTTTCGCAGTTTTCAATCGGACAACCAATGCCAAATTATTTTATTATATTCGGATATCAACTGCAGAATTACTTCATTATATTTGGACATCAATTGCCGAAACTTTTTTATTTTTTATTTTTTATTTTTTTGAAACAAATTTATCAAACTAATCACTTTTATTCGAAAGTAAATTTTCGAAATAAATACATAATTTCGAAAAACTACGGCCGAAAGCTCACAATCAGCAATACCGATTCAAAAAATGAAAGGAAATTCTTAATTGTGCTTTTTAGACATTTATATGCTCTTGTTGTAATTATAGTTCTTCAAAAATTTTGATTTGCAAATTTTAAGTGCATACTTTGTGATTCTTCCATTACGTGATGAAGGTGCGATCATTAGGGTCAAGTAATCTTCCAGGGCTTTTCGTGGGTTCCTTAGCCCTCACACTTGTTGCTGCCCCTATTTCCACTCTCATCTTTTCGCTACCTAATCTTTCCAAAGGAAAGGTCAGGATTTTCACAACTACTGTAAGACAAGTGTGTGGAAGGAGGATTGAGGGGGTGTGTACAATAGTTGAGTGAAGGGTATAATTGATACATTTAGTGTGTAGATTGAGAAAATTAATTAATAATTAAATGACAAAGTGTGTACACCAAGAAATGATGTAGATTGAGATAGTTAGGTGTGTGGAAATAGAATTTTCCAAAACCTAATCTTAGGTTTTGTGCCTCTTTCTTGATAATCGTTCTCTCTCTTTTATTTTCTCTTCTCTCTTCTTACTCTTAAACTTGTTCTTATAATTTCAACTTGGTATCAAAGCATACAAGCTCTTTTCTTTTTTTTCTTTCTTCTGCTCTTTCATTTTTTTTTTTTTTTTTGTGTTCAATAATGTTAAAAAAAAAAAAAACAAAAAGAAAAAAAAAACCCAAGATGCTCGACTAGGGTTGGGTTCCCCAAAAAAAATTTCAATTTTTTTGTGTTTTTTGTTGCCCATTTGCAAATTTTTCTTTATTTTTTGAAAAAATGGATCCTATTTTTGATCTGCGAGTTCTGTCAGTTTTTTGCTTGATTCAGGGCTTGGAATCCCTTCTATAGGAGCCGACCAGACCTTCTATGGTCTTCCCTGGTGTTGTTTGCTGCTCCTAGCTGGTATTTTGGTCTCACAGCTCTGTTTACGGGTGTTCTAAAATGTGTTTGCCTCAGTTTTTGCCTTTTCTGGACCATTTTTGGCTTCTTTGAGACTGTTTTCTTGCTTACTGAGGCTGCTACACCTTCCTCTCTGTTTTTGGGGTATAGTTGTATTTTCTTAGTCCATGGCTGATGACGGCAAGAACCCTGTGGTCAGTGAGGCAAAAGGTTTGGGTCCTACTATACCTATTGGTGATAAGTTGATAACTCCTCTTCATCTGACTTTTGTCAAGCTGGATGGCACCAACTATCAGGTTTGGTCACATTCTTTTTAGTTGGCCATCATTGCTCATGGTATGTTAAGTCACGCAACAGGAGTTACTAAGGCTCCCAAGGAGGATGGACCAACACGTGACAAATTACTATCAGAACTTCCAAGTTGTATGTTCCCAAGATGCTGCTACATTTCAATAGATGGTGTCCAATGAGCGTGTCTATGATTTTCTTGCTGGTCTCAACTTGGAGTACAATTAGATTTATGTTCAGGTTCTCGGCCACCAGTCATTTCCTACTGGGCTTGAAGCCTATGCTTATGTTCTGCAAGAAGAGAGCCAGCAAAGTGCTATGGTTCATCAACCTCTTCAAGACCGGTCTACTTTAGTTGTTTCTTCTACTCCCACAGATGGGAAATTTGGTCCGTTTAAGTCTAGGGGTAAAGGTTCCTCTAGTATTCGTGATCAGATTATCTGTGATTATTGTGGGAAAGAATGACATGATCAGGAACATTGTCAGAAGTTACATGGTCGTCCTCTAACCAAGGGAGAGGTAGTGGTTGTGCTGGTACTAGTGGCCGCAATAGCACTATTTGCTCTCATGCACACCTATTGGAATCCTCTACTAGTACTTTGGGTGATCCTGCAGCTTTTTCCCATGATGAGTAACACACTCTTTGGCATCAAATGGCTCAGCTTGATTCTTCTCCTGCTTCCACTTCTGCTTCTACTTCTGATCCTCTTCCCTCTAACTTTGCTTCCATAGGTATTCCTACACATGCGTTGAGTGTTGTCTCTTCATTCCATTGGATTATTAACTCCGGTGCTACCAATCATATGACAGGTTTGTCCACCCTTTTCCACTCTTACTCTCCTTGTTCCTGCAAGGATAAAATAAGAGTGCCTGATGGGTCCTTATCCTCTGTGTCTGGGACAAGCTCTATTCACTATTCTCCCTCTATTTCCCTCTCCTCTGTTCTTCATGTTCCCAACTTCTCTACTAATTTACTGTCTATTAGTCGTGTTATCAATTCCTTAAATTGTTTCGTAACCTTTTTCCCTTCTCATTGTTTTTTCAAGAACTAGGTATAGGGAGAATGATTGGCAGTGGTAGAGTACACAAGGGATTGTATTTTCTGGATGATGGATCTTTTGTCACTCACCAAGCTCTTTAGAAAACCAGCACTTCATCCCTCTCTCTATCACATCAGTGGCATAGGAGTTTAGGCCATCCCTCCATTTCAATTTTGAATAAACTTTTCCCTAGTCCAGTGAAGGATTGTGATTGGAATAATTTTCATTGTGATGTTTGTAAGTTTGAAAAACATAAAAGATCTTGTTTTCCTTCAGTTAATAAAAGAAGTATGTTTCCATTTATGGTTATTCATTCTGATGTACAGGGTCCCTCTCATGTTATGTCTGTATCTGGTTATCGGTGGTTTGTCACTTTTATTAACTGTTATTCTTGAGTAACTTGGGTTTACCTACTTTGCACCAAAAGTGAGGTCTTTTATTGCTTGCAAACATTTCATAAGATGATGCATACTCCATTTGCCATCCAAATTAAAGTCCTTCAGAGTGACAATGGTACTAAGTATATTGATGGTGAATTTCGAGCAAATCTTGAGGCTCATGGTATTCTTTATCAAACCAGTTGTGTTGGCACCTCCGAACAGAACTGTGTTGCTGAACGCAAAAACAGTCATCTTCCTGAGGTTGTTTGTGCTCTTATGTTCACGATGCGGGTTCCTAAACCATTCTAGGTTGATGTGCCTGCTAGTGTCCTCCAGTTTCAGCACCCCCTTGCCCTTCTTCCTCACATGTCTATACCCCCCCTCCCTTCCTCCTAAAGTGTTTGGTTGTGTTTGCTTTGTTCACATTTCTCGTTCTACTTGGAGCAAACTGAACCCTAAGGCTTTGCGGTGTGTCTTCATTGGCTATTCCTCCACCAGAAAGGCTACAAGTGTTATGATCCTCACTCTCAGAAAGCATATGTTACCATGGATAACACTTTTTGTGAGTCTGAGCCCTTATTCCGAGACCAATCTCTTCAAGGGGAGGTTTCATCAACGGAAGAGATTGTTTCTTCTGATCCATTATATTCTACCATTTGTTGTGTGTGTGTGTGTGTGTGTGTGTGTGTGTGTGGGTGGGTGGGGGAGGGGGGGCCACCATATTGTAAGAAGGATATGAATAAGTGTGTTCAAAGGGAGTCTAGTAGGTTGGATAAACCCAATTGTGTTCAAGGAGAGTCTAGTAGGTTGGATAGACTAGATTGTGTTTAGGGGGAGTCTAGTAGGTTGGATAGACCAGATCTTCAGACCTACTCTCGGCGACAAAGGGAACAGTCGAGTTATGTGCTGCCATGCCAATCACCACCTCCAACTCTAGTTCCTAATTCTTCTATGGAATCTTCAGGTAATGAGTCTTTGGTTACTTCTCCTACTACTCCTGTTGATGACTCAAATCTTTCTATTGCTATTAGGAAAGCTGTTAGAACTTGCACTCAACATCGTATTTCTAAATTTGTGTAATGATTCCTTATCTTCGTCGTATCGTGCATGTGTTTCGTCTTTGTCTTCTGTCTCTTGTCCGCAGAATTGGAAGGAAGCACTCACTGATTCTAAGTGGAAATAAGCTACCGCAAAGGAGATGAGAGCTCTGAGTAAGAATGGCACTTGGGAGTTAGTTTCTCTACCATCAAGTAAAAGGCTTGTGGGTTGCAAATGGGTGTTTACAATTAAGCAGAAAACCGATGGGACTATTGAGAGATATAAGGCAAGACT